TGCGGTTGGAAGTTGCTGTTGGTGACAGAGCTTTAGGAAATTCGGTTAAACTTTTCCTTCTTGAAGTGCTGTCCTATTAGATAGAACAGCTTTTCGTATTACCCGTACTCCAGGTGACCAGATCGACCTACCCGGTGGCCCGACGCAGCGCTTCGCTTACACTCGGCGCGAGCCGCTCGGTGTTGTTGCTTGCATTGGAGCATGGAACTATCCATTCCAAACCTGTGTATGGAAGGTAATACAAAAGTGACGTTCCTCAGCACCTATTGAAACGTAACACAGGGGTTAAGGTTGCACCTGCTCTCGCCGCTGGCAATGCGGTCATATATAAACCGTCACCATTCGCTCCAGCTTCGCCTGTGCTCCTTGGAGAGATTCTTACCGCCGCAGGAGTACCCAAGGGAGTTTACGGAGTCGTACAGGTGAGTTTTGACGAGAGTCGTTGTTTATGGGCAGTAGGAGAGGGTAGGTCGCTCATTCATTTCTCACTAGAATTCTCTTGATCGTAGCACAGTAGCTGTAGTTGTGTGCAGCCGTCCCTATATATAGATCTCGTTAGCAAAGTGAGCATCTAAGGAAGAGGCGCAATGCCGAGGGCACAAGCACTAACTTCCCACCAAAATGACACAAGATCAAAAAAACATCTGTCAGCTCCTCTGGGTCGCTGTTAGGACCACACACCAGTTCAATTTCTTCACTTCCTCCTAAAAATAGGAGGTGCAGCGCGCCCAAAAAAAGATACACTCTAGTTTTCATACTATTTACGCAGATAGGAGCTTTTTGGAGCTAAAAATTCTACCTGATCTTACTAAGTTTGTAAGTACATAAGGGGCCATATAATCAGCCATGGCTTTATTCTCGAGACTTGAATAAACTCGAGCTCCCTCAAAGAAAGGAATACTTGTTGGGTTCGAGACTGGAGACGTCCCATTGCATCCTCCAATCTACTGCCTATCTCTGATATTTACTTAACAACTCTTTATAGGCTTCTTTCATTTCTATCGTTTCTAAGGCTTTTGTTCAAGGGAGAAGCAGAAACGGGTAACTTCCTCTGCATTCATCCTTTGGTCAGAAAACTCTCTTTCACCGGTTCCGTCGCCGGCGGTATGGCGCTGCAACGACAAGCAGCAACTGAAAACGTCAAGCCGGTAATATTCAACCTCTCTTTTGCCATGCAACCTCTCTTTTGCCAGTGCAACATTTTTTCCAGATCCGAAAATAAATTTTAGGTCACATTGGAACTCGGAGGAAAATCAGAGCTGATCATATTTGACGACTCCGAAGTAAAAAGCGCAGTCGCGGCGGCAATGCTTGCAAATTTCCTCAATCAAGGTAGCGTTAGGTGTTCCTGTTCAGGTCGCCCCCGTTCATTCTTCCCATCCAAAAACCTCCTGCCCTGTTTGCTAGTGTATGCTATTCGTATTAGGTTGGAAGGAAAGTTCCTTAACACTTGTAGCTCAATTTTTGAATTTATTTTTTTATTCTTTATTTATTCAATGATCCATAACATATTGACCATTAGATACAACAACACTACGCCAACCTTCGGGCATTTGGGTGACACCGCAGAAATTAGAAATTAGGAAGATTTTTGCCAAACAACCTTCTGGTGTCGGATTTGCGCTCGTTTACGTCGTCGAGCTTCCTGTTCTCCAGGTAATGAGCAAGCGAGCAGGAAAGGTTGAAGAGGTGTATAGATAGGTTTGACGAATATGGCAGACGGGCAGCCGCGGTCCTGCCTGGCTTCAGAGTCTTGTGGCTTGAGACCGAACACCCGCGACGTTGCGCGTTGTCGTGAAGCAGGTTGACTTGTCGCTATATTCGGCGAAGCTCTTCTGCAATCTTTTCGAGCAGCTAGCATTGTGAAGCCCTTGTACTCGTCAATCCTCCAGACAGATCATCACCCGTGGGAAATACCGTCAAACGTCAAAATGGGCAGTAGTCGTGTGTTGCGTCAGAAAGATCAAAGTCTTCGCTGCGGAGCGTTTAAACCAAGCCGAAACCGCCATGTGAGAGAACGTGCCCAGGCCTATCCCGGGACTGATCCTGACCACCTCTGGTGGGCAGATCTCTCTAGGCGGAGCTCTTACAGAATGAGCGCTCGGAGTGTCTGGCGGGAAAAGTTGATTTAGTGCCATGCAAACGCCATTATTGGGAAAGCTGATTTGATCACCGTACGTAGCACGGTCCACTCCTACTATATACCACCCATGGAAGATTCCAGAGCATTCGGGAGAAATCCAGAAAGAGCGCGAATTGAGTGTTAAGGAACTTTCCTTCCAACCTAATAGTATCCAACTCAAAATTTCCTCTTATCGACGGCTAGTGCGATTGTCTTCATAATGTCAAAGTAGGGGAATATCTTGTGTACCCTGCAGCACCATCAGGGGCAATCATGGTGCCTCCTACAGCTCCTCCCCCCTCTTCCTCGCTAACGTGGCCTTTTATGCATCACCCCTTCTAAAGCACTGATAATTCACGTAGAGACTCTGAACGTAGGAAATAAGTGGAATGGTGAGAACTGTACATTACACTACTAATACATTGCAAGGGAATGAACGATGGATGACGTTTTCAATGGCACCTTTGATTGGGATTTCTTCAGGTCAAGTCTGCACAAACGCCACACGAGTTTATGTCCAACGAGGCATCCTGGAAGAGTTTACTGCAGAGCTTCTCAAGGTATATTGTAACTATTTCCTTGTCGGACTTGTCCCGTTTCACACTATTTCAGGCGCATGCCATGCGCACAGTGACCATTGATAAAAGTAGATCGGTAAAAATCCATTTTGACAGGGAGGTGCACTCCTTGATATCTTATCCTTGATCTTTGAGAGCGCTCCTTTGGTTCTCTAAGGATAGGATAGCAAGTGAACAACTCATTTGTGCACTTCTGATAAGTATCTGTGGATCTCCTGTACTCCACACCTCCTGCTCACATCCCATCCAATTTTCTGTACCAGGTCATCCACCTTAGAGCTCTCCACCCTTAGGCTGAGAAAAAGCCCCCAATCCCTGGTTCAGTTCCGTTTCCTTGAACCATTGCAGGTGGAATTGTGGAAGCACCTTAAAAGTTATTCTTACACTTCACCGGTACCTATCAGAAGTGCACTTTAAATGATCGTTAACTTTCACCAGCGCCCTCTTTCTTGAGTATTGGAGAACACAGTGGAGTGCCCTCCTCCCCCCTCCTCCTCTAAACTGGATTTACACAGCTTTCATTTGGATACTGCTTCAAACTGAAGCTCTTGACTGATTTCCACCTGTGCAATTCCGATTCAAGTTCCTCTCGAATTCTTGTCGTCCTTCCTCATCGTACCCTAACTTCATTTGAAAATTTAAGCTGACAAAAGGCAATTCCCAACTTTCAGGAATGCGACGAGAAGCTAAAGATTGGTGATCCGCTTCTTGACGATACAAGGGTTGGCGCAAACATTAACGAAGCTCACTTGAACAAGATTCTCGGATTCATCGAAAGTGCCAAGAAAGATGTATGTGAAATCCATTTATTTCGTATCGTACTTATTAACTGCGAAAATCTGTCAAACATTGATGCCTTCGGCCGTGAAGCAAGTTAGGATGTGTAGCGCTTGGCTCG